ATATATATATATATATATATATATATATTGAATGCTCCAAATATGTAGTCTTAGGGATTGAAGAAAATACTTCATGATTTATATGCATTGAGGTTGATTTTTTATTAAATCAATATATGTATTTTATTATTATCATATAATAAAAATTTTAAGTTTGTTTACATCCAAGGATGTAAGTCAAAGGCATCTAACTATATGAATCTTGTGTCTTTTAATATTGATTTATTTTGTTATTTTGGTTACATGATTTTTTTTCTTTATAACTAAACATTGTTATTAAAAATAATGATCCAATCAATTTGGTTTGTTAACAAGTTGATTTTAATATCATAAGAAAAATTTTAAAGTCAAAGGTGTTAGCTAGTTTAGTTAGTAAAAACTTTGATAGTTTCTCGATTATGCAAACTTTGTCTTTTTCATTTATGTTTTACCAAAAAAAAATCATCTTAAGTTCAAATATTTTCATACAATAGGAAGCTACATAGAAATTGTTTTCTTCTTCCGATTGTGAAAACATGTAAGCAAATAATATAGTTTGATGGAATGTCACCATCGTAAGGAAACCAGCTGGAAGTGTTATCGCTTGTTCATTTGCGTGATTAACATGTCTAATATCATACCATTTTCGACCGTCACTAAAATCTCTTTCATGATTAGTGTTACGGTAAGTAACTTTTTTAGCCGTGATCTCAGAGTCGACGCGACTGGTTCGGGAGTCCGGATGGCCGGGATCAGGCATGGCTCCTCTCGCGATCTTGTGGCGGCCGATTGCGGGGGATTTGACTGGAAGGGTCCATTGCGCCGGGTAGGGTCAGCTTCGGTCGAGCACCTGCACAAAGGTCGGGTTAGCGGTTCGGCCGGACCCCTCCGACAATCAAGTCAGTGATTCGGAGAGGAGTTTTTGGATCCCAGTCCCTTTATTCGTTGGGAGCCAGCGGGTATTTATAGGTGAGTTTGATGTTACCTGATGTGCCATCCTATCGAGGCAGGGCCGTACTTCTGATGGCATCTGCCGTCGTCGTGGGCGTTACGTGGAAGGTCGAGCTGCCGCAGGGTATGGTGAGCCTCAGTCAACGCCTTCCCCTGCCTCGGCCGGTTGTGCGAGGCCAGACGATGAGATCGTTTAGGCACTATGAGTGAGGGTGCACATTACGCACGCTGGTGTTAATGCTTGCCCCCTGGGGCAGTGTGCCGTCCAGGGGTGGCTGACGTCGTGGTGAATTACGTCAAATCCGGTGTGTTACGTCAAATCTGTTTTTACCCCTATCAATTAGTACTCTTGTCTTATTATTATTTTTAGTTTACTTAATGTCTTGATGATCATTTTAGATTTTAAATTTGTATCAAGAGAGTTGAGTCCATCCAAGAGTCTAGAGCTCTCGTATTAAACCTGAATCAAATTTACTGATATGATATTTTTTGACACCCAATTATCATCCCAAAACGAATAAAAGAATGATTGCGAGTTTCAACTTTAATATTTTTGACAAAAAGTCAAATCCTATCAAGTTATAATGATTACAACTCACACATCACCAAACTCTCGATACGATGAACACATGGATTACATCGGATGAAGGAGTCAAACCAAATGATGGGAATCGAGAAGACTAATAACGTAATTGGGGTTAACTATGTTAGCATTGTCTTGAATCGTTAGTCTCATCATGGTTAGGTCTATTGGTGGAGGAGCAACGCTTACAACGTGCAAAAAGATGTCACCGGTTCCATGAAGTACGTGGGGCTCGCATGTTGGGATCATATCGAGTTAAAGGCACACTACCAACTTCACCTCGTTCATCTTTGCATCTTAATAAAATAATTTGATCGATTATGATTATATTGATCTGATGGTTTCATTTGGAAGGAACATTAATGGTGTTAATTTATTACAACATTCGAGGTTAAATTTGATTCTTCCACTAGACTTATTTGTCATTCATTCTTTCTTGTTGTTACTAAAATATAAAATCACATGTGATTGATTGATGAAGAAAGAAATTATTCTGAAACAAGAAAGCAATGAGGAATAATACTAGATTGAAGCTCAAAAATAGATCTTGCTTATACATATCATAACTCGTCTTTGTCATTTATTTTTTTAAAAAATAAAACATGATTTCTTCGTCTAATCCCACCCATTTGTGACCCTCAACTCGCATCGAGATTATTTGAGGTGCATGTTTAGAAAATCCATATTAACGATTGATAGGCATGTTGATTCTTATATTAATCAATGTCTTATAAGTGTTATCGTCACCTTTTATCCTCAAAAATATATTCGAAGGACTATCACAAAAGGACAATTTGTGTGAGATTATCTAAAATAAATAATTCTTCTTCCTCAATCATAACAAAGGTGTGAGTAATGGATAACAATAATGGTGGATTGGATTTATCGAATTAATTGGTTATATTATATCCACTTAAATTGAGTTATATCGAGACAAACTTACATATAAAAATTATTTTACCATTGCAATTCCAATATTGACCTCCCTCTTACGAAAGAGTTTGTTAAGATCGATTTCGCCAAACGAGTAGTCATAGATTATGTTCAAATTGTATTAAGATTTGTCACCGTCGTCATCAAGTACCGAATTTTGTTTTATATAGACTACCAACATGTTAAAATATAATTTTTTGTTTTTAGTAGTATATTATACTTTTGCATCATGGAGAACTCACTTAGGCACAATGAATGATGCATAAACAACGATTTACATATAATTCCAATTGATTTTAGCACTTGCAAGAATCGATTTCCACTTCTCTCTAATCTTCAAAAATATTATTTATACGAATATTTCACACCATTTACACACTCACTCCATCATATTAAAATATTTATTTTCTTCGTCGTATATTAGTCGGGTACAATCTTCAGCACCAAACCACAACATTATTCGTAGAATAATTTCGACATTTTGAATGGAAAATGAATAGAGGACAAATTTGGCCTAACATTTTAGAGAGAGAGAGAGAGATAGTGGCTTCCTATTTAGCATTAAAATTGTGGTTGGGTAATTGCAACCTCTCACCTACAGACACACACCCGCGCGGCAATTCCAAGCGATCGACTGTTGGCTCCTAAGAAGTCACATGTGAATTGATGGCCTCAG